TACTTTCATCTTTTGAAATGCCTGTAATAATAAATTACTTGTTACAACAACAACAGAAGAGACAGTAGGATGGCAGAGTGCCAGTCTAAGGGGGCCAACCAGTAGACACACATGTTTCATCTCTGCTCCTGGAAGCAGCTAAGACAGGGAAAGGCTGACAAAATACCCAGGTAACCCACATCTATTACTGCGTAAGTTCCTTAGCCAAATAGAGAGATAACAATCATTTTTTTATTATGTTATGTTCATCACGATAACAATCATTTTTAGGGTGATGATTAAAGTCAGTTCGCTGGAAGAAAAAAATGATGTAACTTTATTTTCTCTCCTGGCTATCAGGAAATCCTAGTTAATGGGTTATTGCTTCTCTCCTGCAGGGCGTTTCCATCCGTCAGAAAGAGGGAGTATTCAGTTCTAAGAGTGAGTTCTTTATTGCTTCACCGAGAGTGCAGATGGGACCCTTCTCCATCCTGATTCAGTCCTTTTCTCTCCCTATAGACTTAGGGGGATTTACAGGAGATGTGGGGTAGAAGTAGATTTACTTCTGAAACATAAAACTGAAACTCTGTAGAGAGATATACATGGCAGGTGGTATGAGATTAACAGAGTAAACCTCCCAAATCTAATAAAGAATATTTTTTTTTGGGGGGGGGAAAGTAGCCTTGTAAATCAAAGTTTATTCTCAGAGATTTTTCTCCCACCCAATATTTTTGTAAAGGAAGTTCCCCCAAGTTCTGGGTGAGAGAGATTAGAAGAGCCTCTGGCCTTAGTCTAGTCTAGGATGGAGTTTGGGTAAAAATATGTGGATAGAGGCCGAAGGACCAGCTGCAATTTCTCCAACCTTTCAAAGTCAGAGACTCAGAGCTTGCGCAGGGGTGAGCCAGTGGAGTGGGCTGGGCCTTGCCCATCTGCTCCCTCCCAAGTTGCCATCTTGCTTTTTCCACTTCCCTGACCATGTGATCTGTCCACTGCCCCCTTCCCAGTAAGGGCTCCCTTCTTATCCATCTTTGGTGCTATCTCAGCTCTTTCCCCCACAGCCACTACTTTCCTCTAGCCCAGGATTTCTTAGCCTCAGCACTGTTGGCATTTGGGGTCCCATCATTCCTTGTGGTAAGGGGCTGTCCTGTGCACTGTAGGATGTTCAGCCGCAGCCCTGGCCCATTCCACTCCATGTCCGTAGCACCTCCCACACTCCCCAGTTAAGATGCCCCAAAATGTCTCCAGACATTGTCAAATGTCCCCTGGGGACAAAATTGCCCCATTGAGAAGCACTGCTCTAGTCCATCCACTTTGACTTGAAGCGCTTATTTGTTATGCATTCACCACGTGGAAGACACTGGGTTGTCCTTCACGTGTTTTATGCAGAGCTCAAATTTTAATATACTTAAGAATCACCTTGGAGTTTCTGCAAACGCACATTCTGGTTCAGTAGTTTGGGGGGAAGGGTTTGAGATTCTGCATTTCTAATGAGCTCCCAGACATTGCTGTTGCTGCTGGTCCACAGACCACACTTTGAGTAACAGGCTCTATGTCATTGTGTCCTTGTGAGACTTTGGGACTTGACTTTATAGGTAAGAAAGCTGAGACACAGACAGCTCATAGGCGACTCAATCATGTTTTGAACCCAAGTCTGCCTGGGCGCAAAGCTTGTGCTTCTAACCGGCAAGCTCAGCTGACGTTGGGCCAAGGTCCTTGAGTTCTCTCCTTGCCCTCTCTTCCCAGGTAATCGTGCTGTGTTAAGCTCAGGCACATGTTTGCCTGGAATATCCATATTATATTATGCCTTCCTTAGACAGAATGAGCTGCTCGTGACCCCAGGTGGGTATCCTGGAACCAACGAGCTCTATCCATGACCTCATGCCTCTGTTCTAGCCTGCCCTGCAACAGCTCATCCCTCCTGCCCCCTTGCCTGTCAGTAGACAAGTTGTCTAGCACTGCAGCTGCCCTGGGGCTCACTTTCTCTCTCAGCTTCCTGCCTCAGCTGTCTGTCTTTCCAGTCCTCTCCTGCCTCCCCCTTGTCTACTGCTGCTACATTCTTACTTTGTGTTCTTTTTATCTCATGAATGCCTCTGGGCACCTTCTTCCCGTATTAGTTAGGGACTTTTAGTAATGCCCTGGATCCTGAAGGGGGAGGAAAGGGTGTGGTGTGGGCTCCTGCCAGGGACTGGAGAGCAAGATGTAGGTCCTCCAGGAGCGAAGGACCCAAGCTTGGCCCTCATACAGGCGGCGGCCACAGACCAGGCTGCTGGCCGGGGACTGCAGCAAGTATTTTGTTTAAGGAAATAAAGGCCATCGAATGTGTGATGAGGGGAAGGGGTGCTGGTGCCAGAGAGACTGGGAAGGGTCTGCCAGCCGGAGAGATTGGGAAGGGCCAATTCCTTCCAAGGTCCCCTGTTCTTCCTTCTCCACTGAGCTGGGGAAAATGATCCCACTCCTCACATCACATTCTACTCCCATGTCTCTTGCCTGAACCCAGATGTTTGTGCAGGAAGGTAATTCAGAGCAGGGCTCAGCAGCCTCTCTCTGCAAAGGGCAGAGAGTAAATATTTTGGGCTTTGTGGGCCATACGGTCTCAGCCATAACTACTGGTCTCCATCATTGTAGCATAAAAGCAGCCATAGACAATATGTAAACAAACTGGGTGTGGCTGTGTCCCAATAAAACTTTATTCATGGACACTGAAATTTGAATTTCATGTACTTCTCATTTTTTGATTTTTTTTTTCATTTTTTTGGTTTTTTTTTTTAGTCATTAACAAATGTAAAAACCATTCTTAGGTCACAGGGTAAACCATTCTTAGCTTATTCTTGGCCTGTAGTTTGTCAATCCCTGATTCAGGATCTGGCATTTCCCACTATGTGTCCCCGGGACATGGTCAAATACTCATGGGAAATGCTGCATGAAACAAAGTCAAACACATGTCCCCACCCCTGGCCCTCATGGGACTTCTCAGTCTTCATTATTCTCAGGAGTGTTACACGTTCCCAAGAGGGGCTGGCATGAGCCAGCCTTCTGGAATCTACTGACTGGGAAGTCTCTTGTCCCTCAGGATCAGGTTCTGTACAACGTGCTTTGGGAGCATGGTTCAGGTCTACCCTTCATTTTATACACAGGGCAACCGAAGCCTGAGCAGCTTGCTAGCTGGGCATATGGGTGGGTGTCTTCACCTTGGCTGCTGACATGCTGCATCCCCTGGGTGATCCTGGGCCAAACAGCACAGGCTGAGGCTAGCCTGCCTGCCAGGACACCAGGGCCCCTCAGCTTTCCAGGCCTGGTCATGCACACACTGCCTTATTCTTCCTGAACCTGAGACAGGGCGTTTGATGGCTGCATGTGAGCAAATACTCAAAAATCCCTGGCCCTGAGCCATCATAGAAGTATGGGTGGGCTATCCTGAGTCTCCAGGTCACTGTCCCGTCATTAATAGGGCATAATTATTGAATGATTTTGGAGCAAGGAGACTGGGGTACTCTGTACAGCAAAAATGTATTCACATGTGTATAGAGTTTACAAAGCACTGTGTCATTTTCCCATTTGCTCCTTGCACCTGCCCTTTGGGGGAAGTGGGGCGGTTTTCTGTTTGTTTGTTTTCATTTTATAGATGCAGAAGCTGAGCCTCAGGGTAGCTGGGAGACTTGCCTCTGGTCACAGAGCTGGTGGCATAGCCAGAACTCAGCTCAAGGCCTCAGCTCACCTCAGCTCACCATTGCCCCATTGTCTTCAAGTGAAGGGTGAGTAGGCAGTGAAGTAATTCTCTAGGAAAGCATGACCAATTTCCCTTTCTCCACCTCCCCCTCTCCCTCTGCCCCTCCCCCCAGTCCCCATATATATATATGATCTCCACAAAGCCTTGCTAGCCTGCACATCTTTACTTTTGAAACAGCTTTCATTGCTGGGAGAAGAACCTTGCACCCATGGTTACACCCCTGAGCAGTGAATGGTGAAGGTGCCTGTCCAACTTGCCCCTCCATAAACAGGAGCCAGCCACCCTTGAACAGCAAGCCCTCAAGCATCCCTTGCAGGACCTGAGGTGAGTGATGGGAGATGCAGGAGTACTTTGCTTCGAAGCACTGGCCCGCTTCCTCATCGGGAACTGGAGCCAGGGGGATGGATGAGGAGCTGCATTCTCCACTTTAACACCAAGAAGGATCTGGGCTGGACGGAAGGAAGGCTGGAAGGATTATGAGGCCCAGGGATGCATTTTCAAGAGAGGCTGCAAAGGCTGTGGCGTTTGAAGGAACAGAATGAAAAGGCTCTGAGGGAGACAGTGAGGCACTGAGCTACGTGACTGAGGCTATTGGGTTCTCATCCTGCACCCTCTGGCCCATGTGTTGGCAGTCATTCCGGGGACAGGTCTTCTCCCACCTTCCTGCCCAGGCTAGGGCTGGAAATGAGTGGCTTCAGGTATGAGACCAGTGCCCAGAGTGAGACAGGTCTTAAATGTTTGTGGACCGGAGGGAGGGAGGAAGGAAGGAAGGAAGCAAGGAAGGAAAGCAAAGGGCAAAGAAAGCAGGGAGAAGGAACTCTCTGCACGTGGGTGTGACAAACAGGTAATGGGTTACGGTCCCCAAGCTTGGGGCCCCTTCAGACAGTCATCCACTGGTGCTTTAGTGGGAGGTTTTAAAGGTGATTCACCTGGAAATCTGATTCCTCCCTCTTGTTCAGTTACCTGAAAAGTTAATTCTTCAAGTCAGGGGTGAGTTGGTCAGTTGAGGTGGCAGAGTACTGTCTGGGCCCCTCCCAGTGGGTCAGGACTAATCCCTGGGCTCCCTCATGATGAGGAGTCAGGATGGTCTTCTCCTGGGGGAGGAGAAAAGACCTGCCCAAGGGCGGAGCTCAGAGAAGCAAATGCCTAATTAAGGTCCCTACCCTCCCAAGTTTGGAGGATGTTCGACACATGTTCTTTGGCACTTTAAGCCCTCCCCCCCCATTTCTTCACCCTTCCTGCTTAAATTCTGACTGGCCAGTTGTTGGCTGGAAAGAACTGTCATGGAGCAAGTATGGAGGTGTTGCGTGTGGGGGACGTGGGTAGGCAAGGTGGGGAAGCTCAGAGAGACACGAGACCAGCGGGTACGAGATGGAGGGGCAGAAAGACCTGCGCCCCACCCCAGCAAGGCCACATGTTTGCAATATTCTAAACTGGGAACTTACCCTGGTCTCTGACTTCACATCTGTGTGTCCCTGAAGATGGCCGAGGGAGAGCCAAGGAGCATTCTTCTGGGTATGCTACTGGTGGGGCAGAAGACCTACCTCAGTGGGATGCCTCCCTTTCTTCCAGCAGGATCCTCCTGGTCCTTCCTTTGCTGCAGATGGGCTTTCCAGGGCAGACAACTGCCCTCCTCTGCCTTAGTCTGGTCCTACTTCTCGGGAGCCGGGTGCCAGGGGTCCAGGGCCAAGAGTTCCAGTTTGGACCCTGCCGAGTGGAGGGCGTAGCTCTCCAGGAACTGTGGGAGGCCTTCCGGGCCATGAAGGACATTGTGGTGAGTGAAATGTTGTTCTGGACCCAGCTGCGGGGCTTCCTGTGAGCGCAGGAGACTATTTTATGATTATGGAGCCCTTTGCAACTTGCTAATTATTTTCCTATATGATAACTTTACGAAATCAGAGGCATCACAAGTGCACATTCCCTCTTGCACATGAGGAAACAGAGGCTCAGAAAGATGTGGTCAATCTCTAGGAAAATAAATTAGCCTAACGGGAATAAAGAAGGGGGCCTGATTCATCTGGGTTTCAACTACGTGCAGGGGGGGGGGGGGACATGGGACTCCACCAAGAAGTCGTGGGAACTGCTTTGAGACCGACCCACTGGAGTTTTCACCAACTGCTTTGCCAGGCTCCTGCTAGTCTGTTCCCACCTGCCAAGGCTTTAGTTAATGGTAAAAAGAATGGCTAATGCCAAAGTGGGAGGAGGCAGCTGGTGAAATGTGACCGAGAATTTCTCCGGATCCTGAATGTGACCCAGTACTCACACTGGCAAATGCACTCCTTAAACAATGATTCAGATTTGGGGCAGAAAGAGGGAGCTTAGTGAGGTGGCCTGGGGCAGGGGAGAGTGCTGGACTGGGGACAGGACGCCTAGGTGTGATCTTGACCTCGAAACCAGGCACAAAACCCCTCCCCCATCAGTTTCCTTGTTTGCACATTGAGGAGGTGGGAAAATGAGCTCTAAAGCTCTTTTCTCACAAAGATGCTTTGAATACAGTCTGAGAATTGGAGGATATGGCTGCTTGCAGGGGAAGCTCCAAGGGCAAGAGGCAACTCGGAGGTGCAACTCCCACCCCACACCAACCCCCACAGAATACAGAGGCAAAACCCTGCCCCTAGTCGTTCTTAAACCAAATAGGCTTATTTCCTCCTGACCAAAGGAATCAAACGGGTCCCCCATCAAGTCTTAGAGAGTTCCTGGAATTCCATCTGCCTCTGGGGGTTGAGCTTAGTGATTTCTGTGGCTGGAAACTTGTACCCTCACCCGAGGGGCCACCTCAGCTCAGCCCTTCCTGGGTCCTCCCTTGGTTCCTCTGGCCTCTGAGATCTCAGACTGGATAGATTTGGGGGCCAGCATGTATTTGCAAGGTTGGTTTCTCTGCTGCCCGTCAAGCTGGACACATCTTTTCTTTCTATTCCCAAAGCAAGCTAAGGATAACATCACCAGTGTCCGGCTGCTACGGAAGGAGGTTCTGCAGAACGTCTCGGTAATCAGACACTGGGGAAGGACTATGCCTCTGTCTGGTGCCATATTGGCTTGTCTTCTATGGGTGGTCTAGGGGAGGCTGATAGAGACCACTTCTGCCCAGACTGAGCCTACACAGGACATGGCTGGGCAGTGAGCCAGAGAAGTCAACATCTGGGTCATCACCCTTGCGTCCAGGTTATGTGGGTATGTGTGTGTGGTGGCATGGAGGGTGGTGCGGATTGAGGCTCACAAGCATCTTTCTCCATTTAGCCAGAGTTGCCAGGATTCCACATCTGCTTAGGTCTCATGGGTTCACATTCCTCTTTCTCACCCATTACTGTTGTCCCCTCACCCAGCTAGGCAGTCAGCGAGCACATGTACTGAGCCCTGATCCCTGCAAGGCACTGAACTTCACTCTGGTGCTCAAGGGAGCTCGAGTGCAATCCCTGTGTTCCAGAGTGTAGTTTCCTTTTCTCATTTCTCTTTCCCGTTCTTTCCCTGGACTCTCAACTCTGGACCACCAAGTGTCGGGTGCTTTCCGGGGTCCATCACCCACCCCTGCCCCCCCCACACACACCCCTATCAGAGAGGCCATGTGGTGTAGAGGAAAGAACGTTAAACAGATAGGGAATCAGGATTCCTGGGTCTGTGTCTGCCACTGGCTCCGTGTCTGTCCTCTCTGGGTCTGCTGTTCCTCCAGTCAACCAAAGGTGCCGCTCTGCGTGCCCCCGAAGGCTCCTTCAGATCTAATGTTTATCAGCATCTCGTAGACGATTTCTTTCTCTATGTGCTTATCTTGCCTCTTGTGGCATGTGGGTTGTTCATCCTGGGTCAGGGTGGGGGCAGAGGGCTCGGCTCTGCGGTAACCCAGACCCTCCCCAGGACACTGAGAGCTGCTACCTCCTCCGTGCCCTGCTGAAGTTCTACCTGAATACTGTTTTCAAGAACTATCTGGATAAGGCAGCTGACTCCAGGATCCGGAAGTCATTCTCTACTCTGGCCAACAACTTTTTTGTCATTGCGTCAAAACTACAACCCAGTGTGAGTCGAACAACGCTGTGACTGGGGCCCACGGGAAATGACGTGTTTTGAGAAGACATCTTCCCTCTCCTTCTCCAGTCCTGGCTTTTATTCATGACAGGGATTCGATGTTGTCATGGGAAAGAGGACAGGCTCTGGAATCTGGAACTTGTAGTTCTGGATTCAAGTTCAGGTCTGCTTCTAACCAGCTGGATAACCCTTTGCAAAGCAGTCAGCCTCTCTGAGCTTCGTTTTTCTTACCTATAAAATGTAGATAATCACCCCTACGTGGCCAGATTGCTGTGAAAATGAAAGGAGTCAGCCCCCACAGCCAGTGGGAGTTCAGCAGTGGCTACCTTGAGAATGTGGGATTCAGAGCTGGCCTGGGGGAACCCCTCTGGCATCACTAGGAAGGAGTGGAGGGGGCTTGCCTCTGCTGCTACCCAACCCTTGGCACAATTTTTTTTCTATTATCCAGCAGGAAAAGGAGATGTTTTCTATCAGTGAGAGTGCACGCCGGCGGTTTCTGCTGTTCCAGAGAGCATTTAAGCAGGTAATCAAGGCCAGGATTCGAGAGCTTGCCTATCCACCAGTAGATTAGCCTGAAACATCACACGAGGGTGCCTTGGAGACCTCATGCAGAACCCACTGCAGGTGACTCCACCAGGCGTGCCCCAAAGCCACCTAATTTTGCACAAGCACAGGGATATTTGCATCAATTATCATCTACTTTGCACAAGCTCCACAAAATACATGGTCCATTTTTGTGCCAGTTTTCATATTTTTTTAAAGATTTTATTTATTTATTTGAGAGAGAGAAGGAGAGAGAGAGAGCACATGAGAGAGGGGAGGGTCAGAGGGAGAAGCAGACTCCCCGCCAAGCAGGGAACCTGATGCGGGACTCGATCCCGGGACTCCAGGATCATGACCTGAGCCGAAGGCAGTCGCTTAACCAACTGAGCCACCCAGGCACCCCATGCCAGTTTTCAAATTAAAATGTTTTTCTATTTCCCTACAAGAGGATTTCATTTTAAGGACTTACCCTGTGAAAGTTTTATGAATATTTGAGCTAGGCAGTTGGAGTCTGAGGTGCGCCCCCTACCCCAAACACAAGCTACCTATCTACAGTATTTTCCATAATGTTCAAATGGTCTAGTTTGTGAGGAAAAAAGTATGGGAACATACATTACTGTCTCCCAAATAAAGACAACAAAGAAAATCCAAATTTAATCCGCAGACCCCCTACAAAAAATATGATTTTGATCACTTTTTTGAGGAACAGATATATCATCCTAAAAATAAATGGTGAAGAGTAATCATATACAGAGGAAGGGGGGCAACTGGATCTCAGATTCTTCATCTGCATAGGAGATTCAGGAGGTGGCAAAATCCACCCTGCATTGGGATTCTATAGTTCTTGTTATCAGGAACTCCAGATGCTTTTCCCTTGCTCCTTACCCACTGCTACTCACTGGTCCATTAGTCCTCACTGCCTCCCCCACCCCTGTGAAGGAACAAGTGATGGGTGGGTGCGCTCATCAGAGGCCCTCCCAGAGCTGGTACAGCCAGCTCCAGGAGCGGTGGGTGGGAAGGAAACCGATTCTTGTAGCTAATATGGTAGATCATCAACTCTCCTCTCTCTTTAGTTGGACATACAAGCGGCCCAAACCAAAGCCTTTGGAGAAGTGGACATTCTCTTGACCTGGATGGAGAGATTCTACCAATTCTGAGTGCCGAGACCAGGATACACTTCTTGTCCTCCATGTCATTTCAAACGTGCCGTATCCCTTCCTGTGATGTTCTCTGGGCACTTCACACCCTTGACGATGGATTTCATTCTTGGCTAGGCTTATCCTCAAAGACTTCATTCTTTAAGTGGCCCCAAAGACAGTCATGGAAGGTTCTCTTGGATGCTGTGAATAATCTACAAAGTAGATTTCTGTATTTATTACAACTCTATTTAATTCCTGTCAGTGTTTTAACTGATGCCATATTTATTTGTCAGACTGTAAGTTCTGTGTAGGCAGCAGGGACAGTGCCCATGCTTCTTTTTTACCCTCCACAATGCTTGCACCTGGTGCGGGGCAATGGATGAGTGCTCAGTAAATGCTTCATAAACGGGATTTTTTGTCTGTCTTTGAATGATTGAGGAACAATGAGGGGTGTTGGGATATGAAGTTGTACTTCAGGGCGTAGAAACCATATTGCCATGAGACCTGCAGGAACACAGCATGGTGTTCGGTGGAGGCGAGGGGCATCAGTTTGGAATGTAAGTGACAGGAGATACGACGCAGGCTGAGTGCCCAGCACAAAGCAGGTTTACTACACATTTCATTTCTCCCCATCTTATCCTTACCATCCCTTTTCCTTGGGGCCCTCCTTTCTTATACTACTCATTCTTATGTGCCCCTGGAGAGGGTGCCATTGTCAAGCTGACACGGCCAATGGTGTCATCACACTGCTGTCCAATCTTCAGTGACACTCCCTGCTGATAAGAAGCAGGGAACTCAATTCTGGCAGCCTCTTCTCCCGAAGTGTGGGCAAGTGCCCAGTAAGGCTGAGTTATGCATCCAGGAAAGGTCTTCTTCTGAAGAGCAAGACTGGGTGTTCTTTAGTCTCAAGCTCTGGCTGAACTTTGTAGTTGACTTTAGTCCAAAGATGTAATGTCTGTCTATGCCCTTGCCCAGAAAACTTAAGAGAAGGTATACGTGGGGGGGGGGGGGGGATAGCTCTCCTTTCATGACATAAGTGCCATTGCAGAACACCTGGCCCTCCAAGAAGCCACTTTCCTCCCCTACATTGCCAGAAGTTACCTGGCAGACATGAGGGGGCATTTCTGAATGCAGATAGATGTAACGGTTTGGGGTGGTCAAAACAGAACAACATTAAGTGCACAAATATCAGTGCTAAGCCACGGAAGGAAGATAAAGAGATGATACAGACCATCCTATTTTTAAAAGAGGGGAGACACTGGGGTCAAGGTACTTATGTACATCAAGGGAGAGAGACAGTATAGAAGATTCAGGAATATATACATATAATCACTAACACTAACAAGCATGATTCTGAAAATTTACAACCTTTCATCAAAAAAAAAAAAAATGTCCTTACCATAGGACTCAAGATGAATAGAAGCTCACTAGTGAGAGCCAGCCTCAATATCAGGGCAAAGATGTTGCCAGGGGCATTTCATATCTTCGTCAGAAGGTCCAGGGGCCTTCTATTGGTGTGACGCCCATGGCTGAGAAAGTGTCCCGAAGCAACACCTATGCCTATGCTCCAGCTTGATGCCATGAGTCTAGAGCCAGGGCAGCGAAGACCCTGTGATCAAAGACATTCTGCAAATCCCATGGCTTGGAGAAGCAGGTGGTGCTGGGACAAATGCTCTGCATGCCCAGAGCCCACTTGAAAACCACAGGGGGCTGCAGAGGTGTGCAAGAAGAGCTGCGAGGGGTTACTGAGCTATTCTCAGGAGAGACAGGAACGAGACTTGAGGTTGGCGTGGGAGGTAATGAGGACTCTGAAAACAGAGCAAGTACTGGAAACCAGCAGCTAGACAGGACTCATTGGGACCAAGGTCTGGGCCCAGGGGGACAGCTGGATAGGTGAGTCAGGCAGGGAATATTGACATAGTCATCTGAATCAGTGTCCTCCACTTTGGCAGCAGGTTTGTGGTAGAGACTCACATATTCACAGCTGGTCTTCAGAGATGGGGCATGGAGCCAGAGAGCTTCAGACACCTGGAAACAACCAAAGAAGCATCACTGGATCTGGGGAGGGTGATTTTAGTATCTCTCCAGATAGATTTCCACAGTGGGCAATAGGGGGTATGTGCATGGTTGCTGATTTCTAGAAGGCAAAGACACATAAGTGGCTCAGCCTTGGGCAGTTTCAGGGTGGTGTCTCACCGCAGATAACTGGAAACCACTTCAATCTAACGTGGGCAGGAAGTGCCTTAAATGGGGCTCGGGCTAAAGTCACATGGCTAAGCATGGGTCTGAAGGGGACTCAGCTGCCAGAGGAGTTTCCCCTCTGGGATTAGTTGGTATGACTTGTGGAATAAATATGCATCTTCTTAGGGAGTTATTCAGAAGCAGAGTGAGTCATCCCCTGCACCTCTGTAAGGACTCAGAGAGGCTATGGTGTGGCATAACAGTACATTCCAGGAAGGGGTAGGGAAGAGGAGGAAGGCAGTAGGCCACTTGGCCTCTTCCCCGGAAGGAAACTCATTCAAAGGAGGAAAGGATCACCTGCCTTCAGGATGGGTCAGTTCTTGGGAGGACAGGGCTGTGCCATGATTCCAACACTGCACAATTAGTATAACAACCACCCAAGAAGGCTTCAGCAGGGAGAGTCACCTATTGAAATACAAGTGCCAAGAACTACAAGTCCAACCCCATGAACATAGTAGGCACTCAGGAAGGCTCACTCATGGAAAGGAACTATTACTTTGTGAACTTTACCACAGAGGGAATGAGCTGCAATTTGTTTCAAAAATATATCTCCTACTGCTTGTTACAGTTCATCAGTTAAGAGTAATTTATTCTGCTTGAAAAATCAAGATGCTCCCTATAAAAGCTAAAATATTGAGCTATTAACCATAGACACCTTGTGGTGGACTGGTTCAGTCAAGATTTTTGTCCCTAATAGGGGGAATGAGAGTTTCAAGCAGGGAGGAACAGTAAGATTTGAGCAAGGTACAGGCTCAGCTGAGGGTGTGTGTGGCAGCAGGGAAGTTCAAGAGGAAAGGGCTGGTGGAAAGGTAGATGGTGCTGCTGGACCATACCTACGCCACTGTGAAACTTCTCTAGCAAGCGTGGGTAAGGGCAAGGCCAGGAAGCTGGAGGTGACTGTGGCAGAGCTGTTACTTGTTACTGGGTATCACCGTCCCTTTTTAGCAAGGCACACAATTGTTCAGTTAGGGACTCCATTTCTCAGTCTCCCTTGAAGATAGGTGTGGTTACATGACTAAGTTATGGCCAGCGGGATGTGACTGGAAGGGATGTGTGAAACCTCAGCGTCATGGTCTTAAAGAAGCACCTTTCACTTTCTCTTAAGGGCTGGAATGGAGACATGGTGCTGGTGACTTAGCATTGACGGTGGACCAGGCAGGACTCCAGAGGATAGTAGAGCAACAAGACAGAAGGTGTTTGAGTCCCTGGATGACCTAGTGGCTTTGGCCACCTCTTCCTGGCCCCCTGCTTTAACTTGGGAGGAAAACAGGCTTCCATCTTGTGAACCCTGTGGTTTAGGGTCTGTTGCATTAGCTTCGTCTACACCCTAATTAAAACAAGAACATTCACCACACAGTTTTTTCCTGGTTCCCGAGGCAATAGTAGTAGTAGTTTTTTAACTACTGTGAGCTAATCTAGAGAATAAAATAGTTTCTCTTCTTAATTAGGATAAACAAAAATGAATGGACAGTTTAAATACTTTTTACCCATCTGCCAATGGCCATCCATAGACACAGGAGCTCCCTATGTCCATTCATAGATTTCCAGAGGAATCCTCCTCACCCAAGGGTTGAATCCTATCTACATCTTCACATCTGTCTGCCAAGTCATCCTCTAGGCCAGTCTTACTACCTCCAGCGTTGGGCAAAGTACCTCCTCTGATCCTACAGAGTTTACTAGAAAGTTCTCCCTCATATTAAGGTAAAACTGGGTAGATTCCAATCCCTTAAGACCTCCTGGAAATCGCAGCTCTTTCACATGAAAGTCCTTCCGTGCGGTAGAGTTGCCATCCATCGCCTCTACTGAGCGCCCATTTATCCCACAGTAATGCTTGGCTAGAAGCCAGGTAACGAAGTCTACCACAATTGTTGGGCACTCAGTCCACCGACACCCTCAAAGGAGGAAACTGACACAACCTCTTCCCAGCCTCGGGGCCCAGGAACTGCTGGGAAAGCTGTGCCCTCCGGCCAACGGGAAGCTCCAGGAACGCCCCCCACGCACCCACCCCCGGGCCAAGCCCAGGTGTAGGACCGCCCTTCGGGCCGTGGCTGCCAATCAGGGGCGGGGCGGAGCCTACCTGAGGAGCCGCAAGGGGCGCCGACGCTCGCGGGCGTGGGAGAGGTACCTCCCCGTCACCTAGGGAGACAGGGAGACGGAGGTGAGGGCCTGGCCGCGGTCCGGTCCGCCCCCGCCTCGCCCCGCCCCGCCCCGCCGGAAGCCCTAAGGAGGCGGAGCAGGCGCCGAGGCGCGGGGCGTTTCTGGAGGCGCAGGGCTCGTACACTGCCTCGGCGTCCGCGCAGTTTGCTGCAGCGCGCCCAACGGTCCCTCTCGGCCCTGCCCCCGCCCCGCCCCGCCCCGCCCCGCCCCGCCGGCTGTCCCCCGGCGTGCCCCGCCCCTCCGGCTGTCCCCGCCCCGCCCCGCCCGGCGTCCCAGGTGCCCGGCTCACCCTCCGCGTCCGCCGCCGGATCGCGCCGCGGGCAGGCGCTGTAGATGTTCTGGGAGCGCGGCGGCTGCGACGCGCGGGGCCGATGCAGCGGAGGCCGCTGGGATGCCTCCAGGGCGCGCATCCTCACGGCCGCTCGGCGGACCCGCCTGGAGAGGGCTGCCGCGCACAGCCGCGGGTAAAGAGGAGAAAGGCGTCAGGGGCCTGTGGCCACCGTCCCCGCCCTCGGGTCCCTGTAGGGAAACTACAGGCTCTCTCCTTCCTCGGGGGCTTGGCCGGGGCTGCAGTGGAGGTGCTCTGAATGTATGAGGCACAGCCTTGCCCAACAGTGAAG